AATAACACTGCTTTTCGGTAAGTTTATCATTGTCAAATGCAACGAAAGTCATTATATGTTAATATTGTGGCTCCAATGGTTCCAGTTTAGATCGTTATTTTGCGTAGTTATTCTGGGAGTGATGATTTTGTTTTCTACCGGTTCGACCTAACACCGGTGTTTTTTTCCAGTCGCTTGCCCTGGAAATGAGTGATGTTTTGTTGACAATCGGGCCAAAATCGTCCACTGTATTAAAGCCGTAGGCTGTAAATATTCATCAAATTGTATCAACATTTTGTACATTATTAAAGGGGGGCTGTGATTGGCTGTTACTTACGCAAGATTTGAACAGGACTTACATAGGCGTCGGATCAGATGTATGTAGGGCGGAATTAAAAAAAAAAACACGAAATCAAAATCAAAGTAAAATAATAAAATAAAAAGGCATTAATAACAAAAGTAATATAAAATAAAATTAAAATAAGTTTATAGCCAAAATAATTAAAGCCTGTACACTAGATCAGATTTTAATCAGATTGTACGTATATATGTAATATCAAAGCAATTAGACAAGAAGTCGAAAATATCACTTACCAAAAATGACAAAAATATTCACCAAAATTAGAGAATTAAAGATATCATTACAAAATGAACAAATCTGAGAGAGGTCTACCCAAGGTACATATACACCAAGTATCAAAGCATTCAGGCTTGTAGTTTTCAAGAAGAAGTCGAAAAAGTAAAACATTGACACGGACGACGACTGACAATCACTCGTATGATAAGCTCCGCTCGACAAAGTCAACAGTGGAGCTAAAAAGAGGATATTTTATGGCACTCAATTGAAGATTTTTTGGCACAGCTTTGAAGAGAAATGTTACTTACCTGAATTCTACATTTCACTAAATCCAATGGTACAATGGCAGTGTGGGTGATACCACAACTTAAAATGCCTCCTAAACCACAATATGCAAAAAATGTGCCACTACCAAATTCACAACTATCACCTGATAAAGAAGAAGATGCTAATATTAGTAACACTGCTATTCCACATCATTTGTTATTTAGTATTTAAAATGCCAAAGTTGTCACAGCACAGTGTTCGATAACTGCCCCATGTGAAGTACACACAAATGGGGGAAACAGATGAAATTTAATACAATAATTGTGGAGCTTTAACATCTAGGCTCTTCTATGTGTACTATAATTCAGTAACATGGCCAAGTAACCTCTATTCTATTGGCTGATTGAATAACATTGAAACTTTTTCAAATGAGTTGATTTGGCAGGTTGAATTCGGTCAGGCCTAAAAAAAAAAGTGGTGTGTTTCCGGTAACCCGACCCTACCTAAAAATACGTCCTGATCCTAATTTTTTTTTCAACATATACAAAATTTTAATTTATTACACAGTTTAAATTTAAAAAAAAAAAAAAAAAAACTTGCTATTTGATGACGTTTCGTCTCGTCCCGACTTCCGATGGTGTTTGGAAATGTGTGGTCGATGATGCGTCTTTTAGCCAATCAGCGATCGCATACCACATCACGTGCCACCATTTTACCTATTTTTAGATTCCAAAATGGCCGCCTCCAGTGCAAGTGCGGCAGTCGTTTGTGCGACAAAAAATGTTCAAAGCACAATGTTCGGACATCGAGGTCGTTTATTTCTCTAACAACTGAAACTTT